TCATGAATCACGAAACACGAATTTTTTGGAGGAAGATACATACCAGCCTTAAAACCAAATCCAATTGAAAAAACACAAGCCGCTAAAAAAACGATCCGACCACCGACTCGTCTCTTGCAAAAGTAACCAATGAACAAGAAAACTTGTGTCGTTCTTTCAAAATTAATATAAATACATTTGGCAGCCCATACTCAAATTTGCGTGATGTAACTATATTAATTTGGTTTAGACTTTTTGGACACAAATGAATTTCACAAGGGGATAAATCGGATTAGCACACTATTTAATAGGTAAGCCCACATACTATTTTCATACTACATGTGTTAAATTATAAAAGTTTACAAAGTTCTGACATATTCATATCAAATTCATATAATCATATCAAATTCAATTCATAAAATTACGGTTACATTGATAAGAACAATGTACCGATTAGCATTCTGAGAAGAGCGTCTCAGAAGAACCTATACACTAATAACTCGATTAACAGCTACTTCGTACAACAGTAACCTCGATTAACGACCCAGCTGTATTTCTGATCGTGTTTTGCTTAACAGTGAAGAAAACGACAAACATGTCTTTTATAATGCAAGTAAGAGCTGGTTTGAGAATCAATATACCATAAAACTTTCTGCAAAAGGTACAACATTAAAAATGTCATACTAATGTCAAACAGAGATCAGTCGTGGAAAGAAACAAAAATGTGATCTCTTAAGAAATTTTGGAAGCACTTACGTCTGGAATACGTCGTCAAAACCCTGTGCCTGTACCTGATACCAACGTAAATGAAAAATCTGCTAAATTTGCAGAGAAAGAGGCAACTAGAGATCTCAAAATTAAAGATCTATTTCGTCAGAGTAGCTCGGATTGTTTTTGAGTTCATTATATTAAGAATTATGTTAATGATTTTTTATATATTTTGTGCAATAGGCGGTGATTTATTCAAAATATATCGTTTGGTTTTCCCTTTTGTGTCTATTGATTTGTCAATGGCCAATCTTTTGTCGCGAGTGTTATAAAATATTGAAAAATAATTTCATTCCAAAATGATAATGATAAATGCTACATCATTTTGAAGAGCTACTCAATTCACTTTGAAATTCTGTTAATTAGCAACCGACATGTAAATAAGAAATCATACAAACAGATTAAATAGCAAACAGAATTTTTTAATTCACTCTAACCGTAATCGATTCTACCCCATTTACTGTGATTGAAAATCGGAGTATCAGTTATCATATATAACAATATTATATTAATCATACAAATATTACAGACCTCTCTCAAAGGTAAAGATGTCTTTAATCTCCGCAATCCAATAATTCTAACGGATATGCCATTTCAATTCAAAAGATTGCAATTCACAATTCTATTGGCGTCTGCAATCACCATCTAAAGCGAGCTTAGTTCAATATTTAGGATACTGTGGTTCAACTCTCAACACAGATAATCTTCCACATGAACAACTATATGTTACTTGTTCTATAGTCCACAAATCGAACAATATATATCTACACTCGCAATGGAATAATAAAATAAAATTATTGATAAAATTTATCAATATTTGGAAAGCGTGCTTTCTAATTTCTTTCTTTTCCATTTAATCAGACAGCCATGTTAACACGTATCTGCGTATAGCTGCTTTTATTAAATATTATATGTATACAACTTTAACAAATTTTATTAAATTAAATGACGTTTATTATTTAAATTAATTAAATTAAAGATTTATTTCAAATGACATCGATAACGATCTTCGCTGATCAGATGAATTGATTTCTTAGGAGGTCTTATCTATGGCTTAGTGAGAAATGATCATTCGAAGTGATAGTAAAGATTTCAAGTTAGTATAATGGCATTCATTGGCTTGACTTGACCTTGACTTGACTACAGTACTATACTTGAGCAGTGATCAATTGTCTATCAATTGTCTGTTTAAAATAACATTCAAATTAAATATGTATAATGTGAAAAAAATATATATTTTATATTAAGTTCATTTTATACCTCATCCAATACATTTATGAATCCTATTAAAACTGAATCCTATTAAAATTCATTTTAAATGAAACAACTAGAAAACTTACTAATACAGAAATTTAATCAACTTTATCAGCCTCTGATTAAAAATCGTATATAGCGATTACAATATTTAACTCACATCGTTGCCTGTACAAATAATTAATCTCCATCTTAAAAAAATTTCAAATAAAATATCTTATTTTCAGGAAAAAGTTGAAACTTTTACAAACGAAAAAGTAAGAACACAATAGAATCATCATAAAGTTGTAATTGATTAAATTTATTAAATTAACAAAGTTCACTGTATAAAAAACATATTTTAAATATTTCTTATTTAAAACCTTATTCTAAAATGTAATTTTGTATTTCAATTTAAATAATACACATTTTTAATTAATTTTATTTTAGATTTTTCTTATTGTACATTATTATACTAATAACATTAGAAATAGTTTGTTAATTAATTTTCAATTTTAACGATCAACACTTTTTTAAGTAAAACACTGATCGGTTCGAATCAAACAGGGTTATTCACGATCTTGTTTATCGAATAATACCCCTACCATATATTAAAAAAATATCATTTAGTAACGGCGATTAAAACCACCACCCCTTTTAAAATCTGTACCACGTCTTTCTTTCATCTTCTCAAAACGATTGGACATTCTGTATAGTTCTTCTGGAGCTGCTTGACCAGCTTCTTCTAAAATACGAATGAGATCCTTTGCAACACCCCAATCCGAGCGTGTTATATAACTTATGGCAGTGCCAGTTCGCCCAGCGCGTCCAGTTCTACCAACACGATGAACATACTCCTCAATATTACGCGGAAAATCAAAATTAATAACATGACTAAATGAAAAACAATTAATACAACAAATTCGGTTTCAAATACTACTAAGCACTTACGTAATATCCTCAATATCTAAACCTCTTGAAGCAACATCTGTCGCTATCAAAACCTGTATATCACCTGACGCTATATCAGCCAGTGCTTGTTCTCGATCGGTCTAAAGACAATTTTTTTTAAGTTTATAAGAATTTTATATTCTGAGACATTACTCTAATTAAGTTAATGCATTATGTACCTGATCACGAGAACCATGTATACATTGTGTTGACAGGCCTTTTAGAGATAAATCACTGGACAAATCGTCAGCACGAGCTCGCTTAGAACAGAAGATAATAACCTTATCGGTTGATTTAAGGTTTTTTAAAAATGCAAGGACCTGCAACAAGAATAAATACATTGTTCTTCATAATTCTTCTTATTTAAGTTTTCAAATAATATTACCGTATTAAATTTGTCCGCATCCTCCAAGAGTTCTACATTTTGACTCACAGTATGAGTGGCAGTTAAATCAAGCGAACCAACACACACTTGAATAGGATTGTTCATATAACTTTCGGCCAATCTACCAACACTTGGTGGCCAGGTGGCACTAGTCATGACGGTCTGCCTGTCAGGACGTATGTCGAGTAGAATTTTTCGGATCTGTGGCTCGAAACCCATATCCAGCATACGATCCGCTTCGTCTAGTATTAAATATGTAACTGATGTAATGTCTATAACTTTAGCTTGAACCAAATCATTAAGACGTCCAGGAGTACAAATAACGCATTCAGCTCCTTCTTTGAAAACACTAATTTGGTCACGACGATTCCCACCACCATAAATGCATACACTGAATAAGAATTTCTTCATTGAATAATTTTTTTCTTCATTCATTTTAAACTATGGTTTAACTATTTCCTAACTTACGCTTTTATTCCACGGAACGAGTACTTGTTAACTTCTTTTGCTATTTGTAATGCTAATTCTCGCGTTGGCGCTAAAATTAATATATTTGGACCATTACGTTTCTCACGTGGTGTAGTCTGTCCATCAGTATGAATCAAAGCAGGAAGCAGAAATGCTAAAGTTTTTCCAGTCCCTGTTTGGGCTATACCTATCATATCCTCGCCTCTCAATAATATAGGCCATGCTTGCTTCTGTATTGGTGATGGTTCATTAAAATTTTGTTTCTTTAACTCATCAAGGATATCAGGATAATCTTTGAAACAATGTTGAAATTTCCAAATTGGTTTCGGTATATCAGGACACATTTGATCTTCATTTGTCACCAAACGGGAAACACTTATATTATTGTTTAAATAACGCATTTCATTCACTTCTTCTTCTGTCTTAATAGCGACTTCCTCTACTTCTTCATAAAAATTTTTTCTCAAGTCTGGCAGATGCGCCCAGTGTAACCTACGATGTTCTTCCTGTAATCAAAAATGCCTCATGTGAGCAAAATAAATATGGTAAATCGATAACTTAATATGTAGATTTTAAAAATTTTTCTTACAACTTTTCTATTCAAAGTTTCCCAATCGATAGGCTGCAATACTACATGGTTTTCGGCGCCACCATTATATACATTTTTCGTAGGCGCATTTAATCTAATTCCACCACTTTCTCCCTAAATCAATTTTGTTATGAGATATTATATTAATATATATCCATATTCTCCTTCTTTTTAATTTATACTTACAGATTTTGGAGCTGCAACCTGAATATTGTCATTTTCGGAAGAAGCATTAAAACGATTCATTGTATTTTCTTTTAATACAACTTTGGGATTGTGCGAGACTTCGTGATTTGGAAATGAAAAATTTCTATTTTCTTGACCAGACATAATATCACGAATATATTTGACTGCATCGTCAACATTTTTTCTATTACGACCCTTGACAGAAATTTCCTTGGTGTCATTGTTTATATGTATATAAACGTTGAAGTTTGTTCTAATTTCTTTAATTTTACAACCGCCACGACCAATTATGGCACCAATGTAAGCAGGGTCTGCAGGAAATTTCTCCATAAAATCATCAAAATGATTTAAGTTTGAGTTTAAAACTCCACACTCGTTCCTTTCAGATTGAGTTGCACCAGTTCCAAAAGTATCCATTTTGAAGTAAGCAAAATCTAAATAAAGGAATACCTGATTATTCCGTTTTCTATAAAACGAACCAAATTTCAAACATTCAAATCACGACCGCTTTTACGAACTCCTCAATCATAACATATGAAACGGTATTTAAAATTGACTATTAAAATTAAAAATATGTTTTTTAACATTGATTATTAGGGAATAAAGCAATTGCACTCTTATGTTTAAAGTATGTCGAAAATAATACTGCCGCCGCCTTCTTAAGTCTCATCACGCAATGATTCTTATATAAATATTTCAAATGGAGATTTTTTTTGCAAATACGTCACATAACCTTAAATATATGTGAATTGCAGTGATTTTTTTTTTATAGTTAATTTTTGTTTTTTAATTATAGTTTTAAAATTCTTTAAATAAAGAAACAATGATTTCTTTAAAACTTTTTGTTTAATATGTGCATTATATTTGCAGTTATTTCTTGGAACAAGCAAAATTGGCGGCTGTTTCAAGTTCTTGTCGGTTGCGAAAACAAATCAAAAATTCTTAATACTATAAAATATTTTTAACAAGTTCCAGAATTAATTGAAAAAAGTTGAACATATATTCGAACTGAAGTCATGAAACACGTATCAAGTATCACGAATCACGAATCATGAATCACGAAACACGAATTTTTTGGAGGAAGATACATACCAGCCTTAAAACCAAATCCAATTGAAAAAACACAAGCCGCTAAAAAAACGATCCGACCACCGACTCGTCTCTTGCAAAAGTAACCAATGAACAAGAAAACTTGTGTCGTTCTTTCAAAATTAATATAAATACATTTGGCAGCCCATACTCAAATTTGCGTGATGTAACTATATTAATTTGGTTTAGACTTTTTGGACACAAATGAATTTCACAAGGGGATAAATCGGATTAGCACACTATTTAATAGGTAAGCCCACATACTATTTTCATACTACATGTGTTAAATTATAAAAGTTTACAAAGTTCTGACATATTCATATCAAATTCATATAATCATATCAAATTCAATTCATAAAATTACGGTTACATTGATAAGAACAATGTACCGATTAGCATTCTGAGAAGAGCGTCTCAGAAGAACCTATACACTAATAACTCGATTAACAGCTACTTCGTACAACAGTAACCTCGATTAACGACCCAGCCGTATTTCTGATCGTGTTTTGCTTAACAGTGAAGAAAACGACAAACATGTCTTTTATAATGCAAGTAAGAGCTGGTTTGAGAATCAATATACCATAAAACTTTCTGCAAAAGGTACAACATTAAAAATGTCATACTAATGTCAAACAGAGATCAGTCGTGGAAAGAAACAAAAATGTGATCTCTTAAGAAATTTTGGAAGCACTTACGTCTGGAATACGTCGTCAAAACCCTGTGCCTGTACCTGATACCAACGTAAATGAAAAATCTGCTAAATTTGCGGAGAAAGAGGCAACTAGAGATCTCAAAATTAAAGATCTATTTCGTCAGAGTAGCTCGGATTGTTTTTGAGTTCATTATATTAATAATTATGTTAATGATTTTTTATATATTTTGTGCAATAGGCGGTGATTTATTCAAAATATATCGTTTGGTTTTCCCTTTTGTGTCTATTGATTTGTCAATGGCCAATCTTTTGTCGCGAGTGTTATAAAATATTGAGAAATAATTTCATTCCAAAATGATAATGATAAATGCTACATCATTTTGAAGAGCTACTCAATTCACTTTGAAATTCTGTTAATTAGCAACCGACATGTAAATAAGAAATCATACAAACGGATTAAATATCAAACAGAATTTTTTAATTCACTCTAACCGTAATCGACTCTACCCCATTTACTGTGATTGAAAATCGGAGTATCAATTATCATATATCACAATATTATATTAATCATACAAATATTACAGACCTCTCTCAAAGGTAAAGATGTCTTTAATCTCCGCAATCCAATAATTCTAACGGATATGCCATTTCAATTCAAAAGATTGCAATTCACAATTCTATTGGCGTCTGCAATCACCATCTAAAGCGAGCTTAGTTCAATATTTAGGATACTGTGGTTCAACTCTCAACACAGATAAAAATTTATCAATATTTGGAAAGCGTGCTTTCTCATTTCTTTCTTTTCCATTTAATCAGACAGCCATGGAAACATGTATCTGCGTATAGCTACTTTTATTAAATATTTCATATAAGATTATATAAATATGTATACAACTTTAACAAATTTTATTAAATTAAATGACGTTTATTATTTAAATTAATTAAATTAAAGATTTATTTCAAATGACATCGATAACGATCTTCGCCATCGCTATG